TAGTGTCACATAAAATGGACGGAGGAGCATTAGTTTGCCCTTCTTGCTTGGAAAGACTTCATCCTAGGATTCTCTTACCCCTTGTTCGCTTCAACCACCTTTTAGCATGTGTGAGGCATACTAGTAACATTTCATAAGGGAGATCATAGCAGTCTCTTTGTTGAAATTTAAACAAAGTTGTATGTGTAAATTTTCCAGAGAGTATAAGTGATAAAAAGAAATAAATACCAACCTTATTACTCATCGTGGTTTCAGTCCAACAACTTATAGTACCTTACTTGAAAAATGTTTTAACTACCATGTATAAAGAATAGGCAGTAAAGGAGGACGATTGCAGTAGCTTCAGAATCAACACAAAAATAAACTAATTATGAGAATTCTTTGAAGAATGAATGGGCCTAAAACAATGAATACAGATGATTCATATAACTGACCCTCCCCCTCCCCCAAACTATAAAATTAAATCCCCGGTGAAGGTTAAAAATGTTCTCTTCACATTCATCTCTGACTTGGGAAATATGCCTCTTCTTTCTCTCCTTTTGATACTCTCTCCAGTAAGGCCTCACTCCGGCTAAATTAGATTTTATTATAGGGTAACAAATTTTTTCATCTCAGGGGACAAATCTTTTAAACTTATTAACATTAGGGATGCTCAAATTAGATGGTATTCACTCATCGAAAGACGCAACTGTTTTACAAGCAGAATTAGCATCGATTAAAAGAATCTACTATGGGTTTGTAACACTATGAAAGCATCGGTCTTTATGGAAGATGGGGAAGAACACAACAACCATATCTTTACCGAGTATATATATCAAATTACAACATCTATGGCAGATTTGTGAGTAACAAGAAACAAGTGGTGATCATTCGGGAGGCAGAATAGAATACAACAAAGGCTGGATTAACATTGCTAAGAAAATACTTCGGTGAAGCCACAACAATCATGGACCAAGACGCAATTTCCATCACTAAAAACCTACTTAGAGGCCGCAAGAATCGAAAGCTAGCTAGCTATTCCAGTGGCCCCATCAACAAAGTTAGATGGTGTTACANGATGGGTTTGTAGCACTATGAAGCAACCATCAAGTCTTTATGGAAGATGGGGAAGAACACAACAACCATATCTTTACCGAGTATATATATCAAATTACAGCATCTATGGCAGATTTGTGAGTAACAAGAAACAAGTGGTGATCATTCTGGAGGCAGAATAAAATACAATAAAGGTTGGATTGACATGCTAAGAAAATACTTCGGTTCTTAGGAAGCCACAACAATCATGGACCAAGACGCAATCTCCATCACTAAAAACCTACTTAGAGGCCGCAAGAATCGAAAGCTAGCTAGCTATTCCAGTGGCCCCGTCAACAAAGTTAGATGGTATTCACTCATCGAAAGACGCAACTGTTTTACAAGCAGAATTAGCATCGATGAAAAGAATCTACGATGGGTTTGTAGCACTATGAAGCAAGCATCAAGTCTTTATGGAAGATGGGGAAGAACACAACAACCATATCTTTACCGAGTATATATATCAAATTACAGCATCTATGGCAGATTTGTGAGTAACAAGAAACAAGTGGTGATCATTCTGGAGTCAGAATAGAATACAACAAAGGTTGGATTGACATGCTAAGAAAATACTTCGGTTCTTAGGAAGCCACAACAATCATGGACCAAGACACAATCTCCATCACTAAAAACCTACTTAGAGGCCGCAAGAATCGAACGCTAGCTAGCTATTCCAGTGGCCCCATCAACAAAGTTTGAAGATGTTACACACCCATACTCTGGATGCCTGATAGCGATCTCCGATGATCCATTTTAAAGTAGCCCAAATACAAAAATCATACCGAAATGGTTCCTCAGCATATGGAAAACGAGTGCAGGACTCAAAGATACTAATATATCACAACCGCTTTCTGTTTGAGTTTCCATGAAGACATGAGGAGGTTGGAATCAGCATACAGAATTGGTTTTGGATGGTAGACATTTGCATCTGAATAGTGGATGCCAAAAGTTGGTAAAATCTCTACTGACAGTAGGTCGGAAGTTTTCTAGGTTAAAACATTTGGCATTCCTCTCCATGATATCAAAATAAGTGTGGTGGCTACATTGGAGCAGATGAAGATTCAAAGAATAGAAAACATTTTGTCTGGGCTCGATAATGCATTAGGAACCCCAGTAAGCAACTTCCAGCGAAGATGGGAATAGAATTGGGGGATTGAGATCTGAAATCTCGACAATGGCAGAACCCGGCCATCTCTAACATACATCTAACAATGCACAGAACCTATTGACTTACTTGCTCTCCTAGCCACACCGAAGGACTTCATGACGGAACATCAACCACCCACCAGGATCATACAGGGAAGTCCAAAGAACGGAAGTTTACAACCAAAGAAGGTTACAGCCTTATGTTCTCTTAGAACGGAATGCTAGAGGATTGGCCTTGGGAACATGTCAGGAGGACCAGACTACCACTTAAAGTATCTTGCCTCACATGGACTTCCCTCAATGAAGCTTGTTTAACACGAGACAACCCTTTTTTAACCCCCTCATAGGAGCTCCCTCTATTTTGCTCCCTTGGTGACTCGAACCCACAACCTCAAGGTTGGAGGTGAAGGGTTTTTACCACTTCAGCAACCCTCTCTTGTCACACAAGACAACCTTAGCACTAAGGGTGTTCGTCGGTCTGTACAGTACGGCACTTAGTCATTTCGGTTCAGTAGTTTCGGTTCTTAAAATGATATACCAATATCATACCTAATTACATTCAGTATGGTTCGGCTTTTCTCCTTTAGGTTTCGATTTATTCCTTCCGGTAATTTCGGTTTCTTCGGCTTGAATATTAACGAGTGCATACAACCATAGACTGTAATATTTTTCATTAAAGTACTCAATGAAAACGTTCTAAGCTCTACTCACCTGACTGATGGTAAAATCTTTGTCCAAAACAATCAAGTATCAACTAAGAGAAAAAAGGTACATAGAGGAATACATTTGATCATTGGAAATATCATGTTACTTACTTAGAGTTAATTGTTGAAATTAGAGAATACGACAAGGACTAGTCCAACATATGCAACAATAATACAAGAGTAACGGAGTAAGAAACACCCTAAAACCATTGAAATATTACGTTAAACTGCTTGACAACCAAGAGAGTAAGAATCAGAATCTGCATCCTACCTTGTTCCTCCATTTTCCTAAAGAAGTACATGGGATTTAGTACCAACCTCAACATGAATGCCAAAGAAAAGTATTGTGTAACTTAGTATGTTAATCAATAATATGTGTAATGTGTAACTCAGTATATATTTTGTACGGTATCGGTATTTCAGTATTATTTTTTTAAATACCATACCTGATACAAAATTATTTTAAAAACTTAAACCAAATACCATACCAAATACCAAAATACCAAACATATACCAAAATTTTGGTTTCGGTACGGTAATTCGGTGTTTACCATATTATGCACAGTCCTCCTTAGCAGATGGAACAGTGTCTTAGTCAACAGATGCTACATGTGCCAACAAAGCTCAGAAAGTGTTAACTAATATGTTTTTTCACTGCTAAGTTGCTGCTGACATCTGGTATTTACCGAACATATACCAAAATTTTTGGTTTCGGTACGGTAATTTGGTATTTACCATATTATGCACAGTCCTCCTTAGCAGATGGAACAGTGTCTTAGTCAACAGATGCTACATGTGCCAACAAAGCTCAGAAAGTGCTAACTAATCTGTTTTTTCGCTGCTAAGTTGCTGCTGATATCTGGTATTTCTTCTTTATCATTTTTTGCCTATTCTGTGTCAGCCTCAGTACATCAAGGAAGGCTATATCAACATTTTTCGGAGAGTTGACAAAGTCATCAAAAGAATATGGAAAATGATCCCAACAATAATTTTTTGGTGTGTTGGAATGAAAGAAACTGCAATTGTTCTGATGGAATCTCAACTCGCATTCCCTGAAAACTAGATATTTAGTTCGTTTGTTCAGTTGGAGCTCTTTTACCTTTAATAGTGCTGACAATTTTTGGACTTTGTTAGCTCCCTGATTCTAGCATAGACACTCTTGTAATAGAGCTAACATGCTTTTGTTTTCTATAATCTGGCATCTTCCTGATGCCCCTTCAATGATATATCTTACTTCATACACAAAAAAAAAGATTGTTTGATAACTTTAATTGATGGAAGATTAGCTAGGTCAGGAGACGATCAAACTATATGTGTATTACTCGTGTATAGTGTTCTAATGAGCTAATGAACTAGACACCATTTCTCTCAAGAAAAACTAATGAAATGATGACTTTTTCTTCCAGAATAATTTGTTGTTAGTATATATATATATATATATATATATATATATATATATTTAATACTCACTCTGTCCCATTTTACGTGCACAATTTTCTTTTTAATTTGCTCCAAAAAGAATTGCACCTTTCTATATTCAGAATCAATTTAACTTTAAACTTCTCATTTTATCCTTAATGAAATAATTTTATAGTCACAAAAACATCTATGGCATGTTTTAGGCTATAAGTTTCAAAAGACTTTCTTTCTTTCTTGAACTTTGTGTCGAGTCAAACAGTGTCACATACATTATGATGAAGGGAGTATTAAAAGTTCTTTCTTAATTGATATATACATTTTCAGAATATCAAGTATTCTAAAATTGGTGTAATGGCGTTGTTAAAGTTTAGCAAATATAAATAGGCTCCCCAATATAGAGTGCTCATCAAACATGGCACAAAGCCCAAGACAAAGTTATATATGCAGAGCCTAGAGCTTAAGATTGGTACTTTCGCATAGGTGCTCCGAGCTGCATAATTTTGCCTTGAAAGTGGTTATTTTTCTTTTTGGGATGAGGTAATTTTCCCTTGAAAGTGGTGTAGCCGCATTGAGCTATGTCTAAAAGTTTCTTACTAATTCCAAAAACACAAGAAAATTCAACGTACTAAATGAATAAAAAGCCATATCAAATCCAACCTTGTAATAGTTTTGACGGAATCTTCCAACTGAATGATGCAAAGAATTCCTTGATATCTACGCTTGGAAACTCAGACCGGATGTATTGCTCCACCGAAAGCCTACTTGCGAAAGCATTTCGCTTTCCCCGAAGACGTTGTGGAAGATACAGATATCTATCAAGAAAGTAGCCAGCAGCTGCAATTCGTTTTCCCACCTTCCAGGCCCATTTGTCACCTGGGTTCGGCCAATCTGCAGGAGCATATGGTAAACCTTCGCCTGAAGCATTGACAGAAACAGGATAAAGGTAAAGTCCGTTTTTATTGGTACTAAGTGTATCTCCATTACATGCAGCAGGACTGTCAATCTCCACTGGATCATTGTTGGATGACATGTAGCTAGATGATTTAACTGTGGCAGATAGCCAAAGAAAAGAATATATCAGCTTAAAATCCAAGAAAGAAAAGGTTTATCAAATCACAGTCTTACAGCTATGCATAATACTCGTTTAGCCATCAAGCAAAAGAATGAAGAAGACATACCACAAGTCCAAATCAGAAAGCAAACACATTTTCTGACGATTAAATAATAAAAGCAGCTTAAGATTAAAAAGTCAAAGCAGGCACTTATGCCTCTGTACAAAACGAGTTAGCTAATAATTGGACAAAAGAAAGAATACAACAGCAAAGAACATAGACAAAAGAACAGTCCAAGGTATCTCCACAAAATCAATGTATCCAACTTGTCCTTAATTTTCTAGTCAGAAGGTGAACCTTGCAACTTGAAGCTATGAAAGTGACCCTGCCCGACAGAGCAAATACAATGTTTAACGCGCGTTTTGGCAACAGAGATGTATTAGAAACCATTAATTTCAATTTTATGTGTCCGACAGGAAATACTCCTTGTTTTGATAGATTTGACTTTGTTAAGGTTTTTGCCAATTGACCACAAGAACTTCCAGACAGTGATCATTACAGAATATCAGACAATGTATCTAATTTTCATTCTTCCCCTTATAATCGCAGCACATCACATCCTTATGTTGCTGATTGACAAAATAAAGGCTCAAATTGGATCAATCTAACCTAAACAATGAAAATAGAGATAGATTGAAACTTCTTTCACATCTTCGGTCTCTGAAGGAGTAGTGGCATGTGTCTCTAGTTCTAGAAAACCTTTACATATAGCTAACCAAGAAAGCTTTACTTTACATATAGCTGACCAAGAAAGATTTACTTCAAGCAACTATTTTATCAAAAAATGGCTTTATTTAATCCAATGGATCAAACTTCAAAGGCTTCAGTCAGTTGTTCACAAGCAACTTCTTTTACTTAAAACAGTAAACACATGTAAATAAACTACATAGATAACAGCATTACTTTTCAAAGTTCACTCCTTTAAACCATTATCAACAAGCTCACGGTGGATTCAAGAGTATACCTGCGAAAATTAAAGGTAGGCTAGGGTTTCCGAATTAAAAAAATGATTGCCTGTGCCAACCGTATGTCGAGGGATAAAGCCGATTCAGAGCAAATGTTTCATTACATATCTATGCATTCGCGTATACCTACAGTGGAATCCTAGAATCATAGAAACCCTAAAACTCCATGAGAGCTGAGGAATGTCGAGTTCCCCGAGAATAGCGGCCACCGGAGATTCTTTTCTTGTGCCCCGACAACGTTCCAAAATTCAAGGCGATGACTAAGCAAATAGGGTTTTTGGCATTTTGCAAAAGAAATCCACCCAATTTACAGCTTGTTTGGATGGTTGTTAATAGTATTTTATTTTATTATTTAAATATTTGAATAAATTATAACCATTTATGTGACTTCATAATATCATGTACCAACAATATAAAGAATAAATTTATAATATTATTAAAAAAATTAAGGTACTAGGTAGAATTATTATATAAAAAAATAGGATAAAGGATAAAATGAAATTATTTAATAATAAGTAAGTGCAGATGAGAGAAAAAATAAGGTAACGACGCGATCACAGCAAATCGGTTCCATTAAATGGCACTTTTTGTCGTTACATAATGACGGATTTAACGATACGATACAATAAAATTTAAGTAACAATCAAAACAAACATTGTATTTAAAATAACAATACGATACAAATACAACAGGTAACAACCATCCAAACAAGTTGTTATGTGACACGTCCAATTTTGAGTCAAAAGATGTAATGTTTTCTAAATTTACTAGTCTTAGCGAACGTGCTCAATGAGTATAAAATATTAAAAATTCATATAAATTATTAAGAAATGTAGCTCAAAGTAACAATATAAAACAAGAAAATATGTAATAGAATAAGAGAAGAAGAGAGAACTTTCTTATTTCTTCAAGTGTTCAAGTGTATCACATATCACTTTTCATGCCTCTATTTATATTATTACACAGAAGGTTACAAAAGGATTGTCTTAAACATGATATTAACAATTGGGATTATGGGGTAAGAATGGGGAGAGGTTATGGAGGTGCGAGAATTACAATCATAATAGTGAGGAGTAGTGAGAGGTTATCTACATCATGTATGAAGGTAGTGGAAGTAGTGGACATCCACATTTACTAATAATTTACAACACTGCCTCTTGGATGTTCAAAAATAGATAATATGCCTCGTTAAAACCTTACTAAAAAAACCCCGTGAAAAAAAAATCTTAGTGAAGGAAAAAGAGTACACATATCTGTAATACGCTTTATTTGTTGCCTCATTAAAAATCTTACCAGGAAAACCCAGTAGGACAAAACCTAGGCTAAGAGAAAAAGAGTACAGTGCGTATCTTACTCCCCCTAATGAAAATATCACTTTATTTCTCGAAGACGGTGCATTCTAATCTTCTGTCTCAACTTCTCAAATGTTGAGCTTGGTAATGCCTTAGTGAATAGATCTGCCAAATTATCACATGAACGAATTTGGTAAATATTAATTTCACCATTCTGTTGAAGATCATGCGTGAAAAATAACTTTGGTGAAATGAGCTTTGTTTTGTCTTATTTGATGTATCCTCCTTTGCCTTGAGCAATGCAAGCAGCATTGTCTCTATATCGCGTAGTTGGATTATCCTTTTTCATAAGAAAACCACACATTTCCTGTATATGCTGAGTCATTGATCTCAACCAACTATATTCCCGACTTGCTTCATAAATGGCTATTATCTCAGCATGATTTGAAGAAGTGGTAGCTATTATTTGTTTCATTGACTGCCATGATATAGGTATACCTCCATATGTAAACAAATAGCATGTTTGAGATCGAGTTTTATGTGGATCAAACAAATAACCTACATCTGCATAGCCGATCCATTCTGACTTGATTTCATTGGAATAAAACAATCTCATATCTATAGTTCCCTGAAGATATCTAATAATATGTTTAACACCGTTCCAATATCTTCTTGTTGGGAAGGAGCTGAAGTTGTTAATAAGTTTACTGCAAAAGCAATGGTCGGGAATTGTCGGCAAGATACATCAGTGCCCCAATTGCACTGAGATATGGAGTTTTATCACCAACAAGCTCTTCATCATTTTCTTGAGGCCAAAATGGATCTTTATTTCAAGCGATCTCACAACCATCGGGGTACACAATGGATGTGTATTATCCATGAAATATCGCTTTAAAACTTTTTCATTTACGTTGATTGATAGACGAAAATTCCATTTGTCACATGCTTAGTTTGTAAGCTAAGACAAAATTTTGTCTTAGCAAGATCTTTCATTTCAAATTCTTTCTTCAAACACTCTATAGCCTTTGGAAGCTCTTTAGAAGTGCTAATGATATTCAAGTCATCAACATACCCAGCTATGATGATAAATTCAAATCCAGATCTCTTAATAAAGACACAAGGGCAAATAGGGTCATTTTTGTACCCTTCCCTTAGCAAATACTCATTACGGCGATTGTACTACGTCTGCCCTGGTTGAGAAAGATAGCCTAAGTCTCTAGAATTAGTCCAACAAGGAATTGGGGCATACTCAAGAGAATTGATAGCCCCAATTAAAGGGTTAAACCGAGAGATCGTAATACCCGACTTGATCCTTAATTGCTTGTGCAAATTCGCATACCCAATTGGTCTTGAGAAAGTCAATTCGGGCAAAATTACTCGAACTACCGAGAGGTATAGAGTGAGTAGAATCGAGCAATGGTTATATCATACTCCCCAAATGTGTCAATCTAGCTTTAGATTCAAGAATCCGTCAATTGACCACCTAGGCGAAAGTCACTATCCTAGTGCCTTTTAATCATTTGAACAACTTACAATAGTTTAATCCTAGCTTATAGTAGTTAAATTGAGCATTGTAGTTTATAGAATTAGAATCATAATTAAAACCCAAAAATGTGTAGAAGTGCAATTTGGAGCAAACACACAACTCCACTTTAGATAGACACCCAACTCCAATATCTAGCTCTCTGTGGAATTCGATCCCGACCCTAAATCTGGTAAAAGCTGCTTCGACCTCTCTCGCTACTTAATAGTAGTGCAGGGTTGGCCGTGAACCCACCTCAAGTCAAAGAAAACTTGTGGATGATGAGCAAGTGGTACAAGAAGATGAGAGCCGGACAATGTGGTGCAAGAAAATGATGAAGTGCGAATTGATATTGATGACATTATGGAGGAGACTCAAGAGGAAGTGAACCCGTCTAGGGATCAAAATGTTGACATACAGGAACCGGTAGTGCAAAAGGCTAAGACACCAATGCCTAGGCCTCCTCCTCCATATCCTCAAAGGCTTGCCAAGAAAAATGGAGAGAATAAATTCAAAAAGTTCATTGACATGATGAAGAGTCTATCCATCAATGTGCCATTGGTTGAAGCCTTGGAGCAAATGCCCGGTTATGCAAGGATTTAGTGACAAAAAAACGGTCAATGACTTTTGAAACTATAAAAATGACTCATCAAGTGAGTGAAATTGTGCATTCAGTGGCTCCCAAATTGGAGGATCCCGACGCTTTCACGATTCCTTGTACGATTGGAAGTGCCGAGTTTGCAAAAGCTCTTTGTGATCTTGGGGCAAGTATCAATTTGTTGCCCTATTCGGTTTTCAAGACTTTGGGAATTGGGAAACCAAGACCCACATCTATGAGACTACAAATGGCTGTTCGTACCATGAAGAGATCATTAGAAGTGATTGAAGATGTATTGGTTCGTGTTGATAAATTCATTCTTCCGGCGGATTTTGTCATTCTTGATTGTGAAGTTGATTATGAGGTGCCAATTATTCTTGGTATACTTTTCCTTGCTACGGGAAAGGCTCTAGTTGATGTTGAAGCCGGAGAACTTACCTTCTCGTTTGGTCATGAAAAAGTGGTTTTCCATGTGTGTAAGTCCATGCGGCTACCCAATAGCAAAGAGGTGTGTTCTTTCGGGACTTGGTGACCGATGTGATTGTAGATGAAATAAGTGCTGTGATGAATGTTGATGATACATTGGAGGCCTTCTTGCTCAACTTTGATGATGACGAGATGGATGGCTTCATGGAATGCGTGAACTTGTTGGAAGGAATGGGGTCGTACACTTATGAGCCCCGCAAATTGTCCTTGGATCTTGAAAATAGGACAACTCTTCCAACAAAGCCCTAAATCGAGGAGCCTCCCATCTTGTGTCACGACCCGGATTTTCCACCCTCGGGAGTCGTGATGGCGCCTACTAATAGGAGCTAGGCAAGCCAACTCAATTTACTTCTTTTAGCAATTATCGTCCATTTAATGAAAACAAAACATAATATGATAAAACGGAAGTCTCAAATATGATTAACCGAAAGAAATGCGGAAGTTTAACAAAAACCTCTACCCAAGACTGGTGTCACAATACTCACGAACGACTAGAGAATACTAAACACAAGGTTTGAATGAAACATAGAACTGTCTGCTTCGGTACAAATGACAACAAACTGACTAAAATAGAAAGGGACTCCGGGCCTGCGGACGTCAGCAGGGCTACCTCGAATGTCCCTGGACTGGAAGCTCGCTCCCAGAATGCTACTGCTACTCAAATGCTGCTCCAACACCTGGATCTGTGCAAAAAGATGCACAGAGTGTAGCATCAGCACAACCGACCCCATGTGCTGGTAAGTGCCTGGCCTAACCCCGACGAAGTAGTGACGAGGCTAGACCAGACTACCAGATAAACCTGTGCAGATATATATACAAGTACAACAAAATAATAGCGGAAAGTAAACAATTAAAACTGGGAGGGGAACATGCTTATGGGGTAGCAGATAAAACGGAATATCAGGAATAACAAAAGAAACTACATCTGATTTCTTCTAACACAGAATAAGGAAAAACAAACCACTTTCACTTGTTTCAATTTCCTCTCGTTGCAGGCGTGCAACTCGATCCCATTTCTCATAATATCACGTGGTAGGCATACCACTCGATCCCATTTCACAATATCACGTGGTAGGCGTACCACTCGCTCCCATTTCATAATATCACGTGGTAGGCATACCACTCGCTCCCATTTCATAATATCACCTGGTAGGCGTACCACTCGCTCCCATTTCATAGTATCACGTGGTAGGCGTACCACTCGCTCCCATTTTATAGTATCTCGTGGTCGGCGTACCACACGATCCCATTTCATAATACCTCGTGGTCGGCGTGCCACACGATCCCATTTCTTTCAACACCATACACAAAATAATCCCGGCAAGGGAGAAAGATGTTATAATAAACTATCCCAGCAAGGGAACAAGATAATATAATAAACTATCCCCTCAAGCCAAAGT